CTTCTTTTGGGGGAGGAGAACTCTGTTAAAGTAATCCTGAAGGTTATTAGAAAGTGGTCAGAGAAGACAGGGTTGTTAGGAAATACTGTTATTTCTTCACATTCTATGCCATAAGTCAGCACAAGATCCAAAGTATGAAGATGAATATGTGTGGGACTATTCACATTTTGAACAAAGTCAATAATGTCTAAGATAGCATTAAAGGCTGCTCTTAAGGTTGCTACTCCTCCTCCTCGCCCAGAACTTCTTGGTATGTGAAAATTTAAATAGCTTAATGGAGTTGCCTGACTTATGCTCACATAATCCTCTTGCTGCAGCCAGGTTTCTGTAAGGCAACGCAAGTCAATGTGATTATCACAAATCAAGTCATCAACTAGCAGACTTTTAGAGGAAAGAGATCTTATGTTAAATAAACCACATTTCATTGTTTTAACCTTTTCCCCAATCCGAGTTATTTTATTTTTAATAAGATTATCATGATTTACTCCTTTAGTAATCCTACATGAAACTGCTGGGAATCCAGCAGTTTCATGTAGGAAACTAACGTATAAAATAATAGAAAACAGGACCGGAGAGACTAAAGATGTATTTGAGTGTATAACTGTTGAAATATTTATGGAAAAGTCAAAACATTTCATTGTTAGTTGCATGTATAGAGCCCCTGGTTCCAATATGGAAATATTTAGAGATTGGTTTGAGCAAACATTAACAGTTACATCTCAGAGGATCCTTTTCATCTGTGGGGACTTTAATATTGATCTACTTAACCCAAACAATCATAAACCTACTGAAGAGTTAATTAATACCATGTACAGTTTGAGCCTTTTTCCCAGAATCACTAGACCCAGCAGGATCACACGCAACAGTGCTACATTAATAGATATTACTAATATCTTGGATAATAATACCATAAGTGGATTAGTAATTCAGTATATTAGTGATCATCTCCCAGTCTTTGTTGTCAGCGACAATTTCTATGTAAAAAATTACGATAAAAGTAATCCACAGTTTAGAAGAGTAAGAACTGAGGAATCACTCACAGCTTTCAAAGAGGACTTATTGAAACATAACTGGGAGTCGGTTTTGTATGAAGATAATGTCGATATGGCTTATGAAAATTTTCTGAATAGTTTTAAAG